AGTGGAGCGATATTGTCCATTTCCGCACCTGACTTAGCACTGATGCAAATATTGTGATTCACATAGTTGAAGCAAAATCTGGTTATCCTTTCTCTTTCTGCAGTCAAATATTTGATTGGAAATTTCGACCTTTTGTGGGGAGGTATCAGAAGGAGAGGACCGAAGGAGTGTCCATCTCCGAACTTGATATAGGTTTTTGATAATAATATTACGATACACCAAATCCCACACTTCCTTCGAGAGTTATCGTGCTCACCAGCCAGGCGGACGGACGGACGGACGGTCGGAAATCGGTAAATCGACATTAAATGTCCTGAAACGGATTTGGTCTAATGACACCTAGGCACTTCTTGCCGTATCAAATGATAGCCCTTTGGCTGAGGATTTTTTTAAATCCAGAATTGTGGATTAATTTAAAAAAAATCCACAATTGAAGAAAACAATGACGAAAACTGACGACTTTCAAAACAAATATATATATATATAATTTCGACTTGTTTTGAGGAAATGGGTAATGTTGACCTTTTGTGGGGGAGGAGTAGACCGATATTGACAATCTTTTAACACAATTTAAGTTTGAAAATTAAATTATGATATACCAATTTTAAACGAAATCGGATACTCCTCGAGAGTTATGATGCGCTCCAGCCAGCCAGACAAACGGACACTCCTAGATCGACTCCAAATGTCCTGAAACGGATTTGGTCCAAAAAGACTCAGAATCTAAAACTGTATTTCGATGAGACAGGTTTTGGCCGTATCAAATGATATATACCCTCCATAGCCCTTTGGCTGAGGGTATAAAAACCCTTGGTCGTAGCTGTAAAGGTATTTATAAACCATTTTAAAAAATTTATGATTCCAATTCTAAATTTGATGAAGAATATTTAAAAAAACGTACGGTTTTGCTTTGAAGTTTGTGGAATTTTTTTTTTTGAATCCAGGCATTTAGTTTTGGAGAAGAAAATATATTTATAAAGAATTCACGAAGTTTGAAGAGGAAAAAAATGGAAAAATTATTTTGGATTTATTCCCTGTAGTATGTCCTGTAATTTTCCCTCCATATTGGCCACTGTGTGTATGTGTGAGTTTGTTTTGCTTATTTATGGCTGCTCCGGTTTTTTGTCTTGCCTCTGGCCTTTGTCCTTTGTTACGAGACTGTTTTAATGATTTCAAATTCATTATGGCACCCGAAAATGGTTTTTCATTCAATGAGGTAGCGAGCATCGATGAGCAGAGACACAAGTTGCTTAAAAACTCGCAACAACGTCCAGGGGACATGGTTTCAGACGAGATTACTTATAGGTGTATGGACGTTGAGTAGTATGTATTAGGTGTTCATATGGTGATGGATGAAATGGGATCCGTTGTTGCGACAATGTTCGAAATCCAGTTTCTTTAAATTTTGAAAAGTTCCAAAATTTATTCAGTCTTGGGCTGACATACTATACGACATATTTTTAAATAGTTAATTATGCCAAAAATGTCTATCCGACAGCTGGACATCTAATCTATCAGACTCATTGGACATAACGTTTATATAAATCTCCTCTGCCCCCAATGGACTTCGCAATGAATGACAGAGAACAATTTTAAAGATAAAAGAGATAATTGGCAAAGTTTTGTTGTTTGTGTTGTTGGCAGAAATCTTTTGTAATTAATCGCATAATAATGATGTCATTAAGATAATTGTGATAATGATCTAAATGATGATTCATATCAGAATTATGAATAAATGGATGAATGCATGGAATATGAATGTGTGAGGTTCGACAAAAATCTATGTGGGTTAATGGAAGGCTTCGAGTACAAAATTGCAGTCAATGAGTTGAAACGGATTGGGCGTATTATGAATATTTAAAGAATATTGTGTATACGCAGGGTGGTCTACATGTTAATATTACTAATACGCCACTGAGGGCCATGACTCAATATTGATTTTTTTTTAAATCAAAGTTTTTTAGTCAAATTTTAATAGTTTTGTTTGCGATTTTTATTTTTGTGACGTCATTCATTCTTCAATCAACTTTTTATTTATTCACACACTCTCTCACACACACCGATGTCAAGCAAATCTCATGAACATTTGGTTCGAAGCCAACTGCAACTCGCTTTGATTGAATTCATTTCCGTTTATTTATTTGCTAAATTATTGCTGCCACATCAAGCACACAGCATACAGCCCATAATGCCACAAGGACACTGAAGACAATTGTGCTACTCCATAGCTCGAGCGGGCTTAGGGGAATGTGTGTGTGTGTGTGATGTGCTGACGACTGGTTGGACCAGTTGGTTAGTGATGCCAGCGGAAATTTAACAACAATTGTTACAATTCCCCCAAGAAAAATTGACGGTTCGCAGAGCTGGCTATACCTTTTGGAGATTTCTAGGTTTTTTTTGTAAATAATGTTTGTTGGCTATGTGCCAGGCTTTAGGCCTCGTTTTCATATATTTTAGATACCGTTCCCCTCCGTTTTGATTGTTATGAGTTTTCAATGGATGTTCTTTTTGCTTTTTTTCTTTGCCTGGAATGTGTTTGAATTCCTGTCATTATTATGGCCATTAAATGAAGGCTAACAAACTTGTACTAAACAAATAAAGCAAATTGTAAAAAGGGTTAATAGTAGTCAATGATGAATGAATGAGTTCGATTGAATTGAATTGCCAGGGAATTGGACAAATTGAAAAGTAAATATTTAATAATTTCCTGGGAGCCAGAAAAAAGAAGGGAATTGGAAAAATTTAAGGGAATTTTTGAAATTTAATCTAAAAGTGAAAAAATCTAATTTTTTAAAAAGAATACTAAAGGTAATGGTACAGCTTGGCCATGATGGCTAGGCATATTTATAAAATGCCATGCGAAGATATCAAGCTGCCTTTTACCCTCACCTTAAGGGTTTAGTCATGGATTAAGAAAAATTAATTTTAAGGGACAACTGAGATAAAATAAGCTTTCAAGTTTCAGCAGAAATAACATTGTGATTTTTTTAGGTCTATATTTTGAAAGGTTTGACCGAGACAAAAAAATTAGATATTTGTAGAGTTATTTCTCAAAAGTTGGTGTAACTAAAATCTTGGAGTTTTTGGAACATTCTGTCAAGGACAAGAAGAGCGGAAACTTTTGATTTTTTAACAATTTTCCTTTGTAGAGCTGCAGAGGGAAAATCGAGTATTTTGTAAAGAATATTTTCTGAAGAAGTGGCAAAGCTATGGCCTTCGGTTTATAAATAATATTTTTTAAAAGAGTTCGTGGCTAAAATCTTGGATTTACAAATTTTAAAGGGCCTGTAGTAGTAAGCCGGAATGTTCTCAAGGACACCTGGAGCTATTAATATGGATTTTTTAAAATTACTTTTTTAGATAATAAGCAAATCTGAAATTCTGGATTCTTAAAAATTAATTTAGACACCGTCAGAGATATAATCGTAGGTTTTCTAAAAATAAATTTTTCAGCGACTTTTTGGTCGGAGATAATTTGAATTTAATGTACATTCCGACCAATATTTATGGATGTTATAGGAATTTTTTTCCGATTCTATAGGAGTTATAATCGTAAAAATTTGTAATATATTTTCATAGGTTTTTTGGACAATAATCGTGGACTTTTTAACAATATCTTTCAGGCCCTTCCCGACTCATGATCGTACTCAGAAATTTTCTGAAAATCCGCCCAAGGAGTTCCTTCTGTGTACTTTACCTCTTGGAAGAGAGGTAAAGGTCCACGTTTTAGTATAGATGTACGATCAAGAGAGTTTTCTTGACCGGCAGGGAGTTCTAATTATTTTATTTAAATAAACCCGCACTGCAGAAAGATTCTTGGGCAGTGTAAAACCGAAGTCCAAAAAAGGGAGCGAAAAAAATTAAAAGAAGTTGGTGGTTCAATGTTTCGAAGTACAATATTTATTGAACAAAAAACAGACAGACGAAGAGGACGAGACAACAGATAATGTACATATGTATATGCTCAAATAGGCATGCATGCACATATGTACAAACATTTATATGTATTGATGCTTTTGGTTTCTAACTCTCGTTAGAGATCAAAGCAAAATAAAAAACACTCATTCCCTATCGAATGCTTTGTTATGCTTATGATCGACATAGGCACAGAAAGCATCGAAAGATAGATAACGTGAACAGTGCAACAACGATAAAATGAACATTAAACACAATAATAAATTAAAATAAATAGAATATAAATAAATATGGATCGAAATGAATAAATAAACACATTTAAATGGGAATTGATAGAAAGTAAATAATATGGAATAAATTAACCCAATATAAATAATAATATAATTTAATTTAATGTAGAAACAAAACGAAAATAACTAAATATAAAACCGTCGGCACGCTGACCCAACATACCGGCCCCATTGAAAGGGCTCTTTCAATTAAATAATAATGCGAGTTTGTGGATGGGTCGACGAATGACTCCTCGTGTAGTTTTTACATCGGCAACTCGGATTCTTCCATCTCTACCAGGGATAATGTTGACCAATCTGCCCAACAGCCATTTTTGAGAAGGGATGTTATCTTCATGGACCAGAACCATGCTACCAACTGTGATATTCGAGTTAGAAGTAGACCATTTGCTTCGCACTTGAAGTTCGTTAATGTATTCATGTGCCCATTTTTTCCAAAATCGTTGCTTTATGGCAGTTATCTGGGCCCAATGCTTCAGATTGTTGATGTTGTTTGTGGTGACTTCTCGTTCTGGGAGAGAACGTAACGCACTGCCAGTGATGAAATGTCCAGGGGTAAGAGCTTCAAGGTCGCTGGGGTCAGAAGACATCGGTGAGATAGGCCGAGAATTCAAAATTGCCTCAATTTCTACTAGAGATGTAACGAGCTCTTCAAATGTCAAACGGGTATTTGCGAGGGTGCGATTCAGATGACCTTTCGCTGATTTGACGGCAGCCTCCCATAGGCCACCAAAGTGGGGTGCCCTAGGGGGAATAAAATGAAAATTAATAAATTCATTACAACAAAATTTGTGATTATGTTTTGGTGTTTGTTATCGAAGAGAAAGTTTTTCAACTCTCTCAGTTTGTTGTTTGCTCCCACAAAATTGGTGCCGTTGTCACAGAAGATGTCTGTTGGAAGACCTCTTCGACCAATCATCCTTTTGAGAGCTGCGATAAAGGCATCTGTTGACAAGTCGGAAACAGCTTCAATATGGACGGCTTTTGTTGCGAGACAGACAAACACAGCGATATAAGTTTTGTAGGGAATCTTTCCTCTAATCCGAAGATATGTGTTCACAGGGCCACAAAAGTCAACCGCACATCTTGCAAAAACTCTTGATGGGTTCAGTCGATCTGCAGGCAAATTGGACATCATTTGCTGAAGTAGTTTTGGACGATATCGAATGCATTGAGGGCAAGAGTTGACAATATTTCGACAAAGACTTCGTAAGTTGATTATCCAAAAGCGCATTCGGGTCAATGACATCAAAGCTTTGGGACCAGCATGATAGTTTTTGATGTGAAGATGGCGAATGTAGCAGTTCACAAAATTGTTGTCTTTCGGCAGTATTATAGGGTGTTTCTGAGCCTCAGGAATGTCTGCTAATTCAAGACGGCCTCCAACCTTTAGAATTTCTATGCCTGTTGAAGAATCAAGAAATGGGTTGAGACACTTTAGCGGGCCTTGAGGATCTTTCTTCTTTGCAGCTCGAACAATGTCATCTTTGAAGTGTTGTTGTTGAATGTGCCAAACGATTGCCAGTATAGCGTGCTCCAATTCCTGAGGCTGTAAAGAGTCAGAAACAAATTGTTTAGTTTTTGAAGAAGATAATCCTTGCCAAAACCGGAAGATCCATGCTACAACTCGAACCATCTTTAGATATGAGCTGCAATTGTTTATGAACTCAGTGATATTGTTGAGTTGCACTTGGAGATGAAGTGTTGTTTTTCGTTTCTCCTTTTCCACTACGTCTTGGTCGATTTCATCGCATCTGCTTTGAGGCCAGTTTTCGTGTTCCCTGGAGAGGAAATCCGGACCAGTGAACCAAATTGAGGATCTTAACTCTTCAATAGTGGATCCTCTAGAGACGATATCTGCAGGATTCAAACTCGATGGTACATATCGCCAATTACAACCATTTGTAAGCTCTTGTATTTCAGAAACTCTGTTTCCAACAAATACAGACAGCGTCGACGAATGTTGTTTGAGCCAGTGGAGAACTATTTGTGAGTCAGTCCATAAAAATACAAAATGCCTTGGGATATTGAGAAGATGTTGTATTTTGGAGTACAATTTTGCAAGAAGTTGAGCTCCACAAAGTTCTAAATTCGGTAGCGATTTTCTTTTTGTCGGTGCTACTCTAGATTTTGCAGTAAATAGCTTCGAGGAAACTTGGCCTGAGCTGGATTTCACCCTGATGTAGAGACAGCAGCCATAAGCACGAATTGAAGAGTCACAGAAGCCATGTAATTGAATGGATTCTGGACTAGGCGATGAACAATAGCGAGGAATATGTAGTGACGATAAAGATTGAAGATCGTTGACGAATTGTAGCCAGGCTGTGTGTACATCTTGCGGGACAGATTCATCCCAGCCAATCTTGAGTATCCAAAGTTCTTGAAGTAGTATTTTGGCCTTTATGATAAGAGGTGCCAAAAGTCCAAGTGGATCAAAAAGCGAAGACGAAAGTGACAGGATTGAGCGTTTAGAAACAACATTTTCAATTTTGAATTTCGATGAAAACGAGAACAAGAATTGATCTTTTTGTTGATCCCACGAAATACCGAGAGCATTTGTGACTGACGAGTCATCAAGATTTAAATATTTAATGGTTTTGTCGTGACGAAAGCTTTCATGATTGGAGTGCCATTTATCCAATTCAAAACAGCCCTTTTTCAATATTTCTGTCACCTGATATTTAAGTTGAGCTAAATCTTCAACAGATTCAGCGCCACAAAGAAAATCATCCACATAGAACGAATTTTTAATAGCTCTTGCGCCAAGTTCGAAATTTTCCATGTATTCATCAGCGAGGTAGTGCAAAGAGCGCACGGCGAGAAAAGGTGCAGCAGATGTCCCATAGGTGACAGTATTTAATTGGTATGTTCGAATTGGTTCTTGCTCAGAATATCTCCATAAAATATATTGGTACTTACGGTCATGTTGGTCAACTAGAACTTGCCTGTACATCTTGACGATATCTGCGGTTATTGCGAAACGATATAGCCGGAAACGAAGCAGCAGCAAATAAAGCTCTTCTTGGATTGTAGGACCAACCATTAAGATATCGTTTAGCGATGTATGCGAGGACGTAGAGCAAGAGGCGTCAAAAACAACACGAAGTTTCGTAGAGGTGCTATTCGGCTTGAATACACAGTGATGTGGGATGTAGTAGTGTGATTCTTCCGAAATAGGCTTCTTCACCAGGCTCATGTGTCCAGAATCTTCATATTCTTTCATAAATGCAGAATAGTGGGATTTTAGTTCTGCATCTCGTGCCAGTCGTCTTTCTTGGGCAGCAAATCGTTGCAACGCATTATTGCGTGATAGACCTAGGGAGTCTGAAGATTGTTTAAAGGGCAATTTTACAACAATCCTACCTGAAGATTCTCGGGACACTGTGGTTTGGAAGAATATTTCACATTCTAATTGTTCTGGTGTAGTTTGAGTTGAGGCAGCATCAATTTCCTCAATTTTCCATAGACGTTCTAAATTCATGTTGATTTTTTCCTCGGTTGAGAGCAAATACGAAGACACAAAGTTGTTTTCTCTTGAAGAATTGTATTTCCCAGTGACAATCCAACCAAACAAAGTTTTTTGTAGTTTGGGTAGATTAGGACCAAGCTTGATTTGACCAACAGACAAAATATCGAAGAATGTTTCAGTACCAATGAGCAAGTCGATTTTCCTTGATTTGTAGAAGTTGTCATCAGCAAGTTCTGTGTTCGGAGGTAGATTCCACGAAGTAACGTCTAATTCCGAGTCAGGTTGATAGGAAATATGCGGCGTAATACAAAACGAAAGCGGAACTTCGAAGTCTGTAATGCGAGATTTTATGTTTGTAGAACAGTTATGCTTGACTTTCGTGCTGGAATTTCCAATGCTGGACACTTCGACGGATTTTTTCACTCGTTGTAGGTTTAAACGCTGAGCAAACTCATCGGTGACGAAATTTAGTTGTGAACAAGAATCCAATAGAGCTCTTCCTAACTTGTATGAGCCAGAATTATCACGAACTAAAACCATAGCTGTGGCGAGAAGAACATGAGGCGATGAACTTTCCATATGGGCGTGAACAGAAGCAGAAATGTCAGTTGCAGCTGCTCTAGATGTGTGATGTGAGCGAGAACAGTGTTTACATTTGAACGATGAGGGACAGTTGGTGACTTGATGACCTTTGGCGAGACAGTTAATGCAAAGACCAAATTTCTTTACATTTTCGAAGCGGGTTGGTACATCTAAGTCCTTAAAGCGTTGACATTGTGCGATATAATGATCAGATTTGGAACAGAAGGCACAAACACGTTTGGAGCACGAGAAAGTATAACCATGTTTCGATAATTTTTGGTTAGATTTACCAGAATGGTGATCTTGTCGACGAGAAATTGTGTTTGAATCCAATGATTCCAAGTATTGACATCTTCTTTCGAGAATATTAGAGCAATCCTCCCATGTTGGAAGTTTGCTAAAGTCCAAGGAGTCTTTCCACTTTCTTTTGGTGTCACTATCAACTTTTCCCATCACAATATGGATCAGCATTGCATTTACAATATCAGTGGGCGAGCCAAGAGACTGAAGTGAACTGTAGAGGGCTGAAACATTATCCACAAGGCTTCTTAGTTGACCAGAGCTAGGCTTAGAAACATCAGGCAGATCGAAAAGAGTGGAAATATTTTCCATAAATATGAGGGTGCTATTGTCATAGCGTGTCTTCAGCCGTTCTAAAGCCTTGGGATAATTTTCGTTCGTCACTTGGAATGCTTTCACTGTTTCTAGAGCGTGACCATGGAGACAGTTCAGCAAATGGTTGAATTTCTCAATATTCGAAAGCCCATGTTCACGATCGATGATTTGTTTGAACGAATTTATAAAGTTTTTGTACTCACTGTACTTGCCATTGAAGCTAGGCAACTTCAGTCGTGGCAGCTTGTTTGAGGGGACAGCGATAGCAAACGACGATTCCGCAAAAGTTGTGTTATGTCCGTCCTCAACCAGTTGGTGTTGTATCTGCGAGTTGATGTAGCAATACAAATCCTCGATGTCAGCACGGCCATTGTCGTCTGGGTCAATGTTTTCGATTTTATTTTGAACCGACAAAATTTGTTTAAAATATGAGTCCAAAATACCCAGGCGACATTTTAATTCTGCGGCAGAGAGTGATTTGCCTTCACCTTTTGCGTTGGCGCCGATCACAGTTTTAATGCGGGAAATGTTCTTTTTTGTAATGGCGCGTTGTTGTTTCAAATCGTCCAAACTCATGATTTTGCAAAATGGCGAAAATATTACGACAAAATCACACAGGTTTTAGGTTATCTAACCTTGCAACTTAATATTTTTGTCGATTTGATAAATATCGACCAACGACAATGTGTTCGAACTCTTTTGAGTTTTGTATTATTGTTTATAATTGCACAAAATTATTTAGTTTGTTTTACGCAATTTTAACCTTCGATTGACACAGATTCTTTGCATACAGTTCACAACATAAATTGCTTTGGTTTGCTTAAAATCCGCACAACAACAATGTTTTGCATATGTATAACGTAGAGCCAGTGCAATTTTTCTTTGAAAAAGTTTTTTTTTTTTTGTTTTATTTTTATAAAGAAGAACCACGAAATTTTGTCGTATACAAATATTTATTTAAATTGCCCCAAAACGACAATTTGTTTGATTTTATTAAAGTTAGACAGTTTCAATGATCACAACAACACTGTATACGTATGGCTTGGACCAGTACAGTATGTTAAATAATTGTTATATTATTTTTCAACGATAACCACGAGAAATAATGTTTTCTGTTTCTAATTTTTTATGCTCAATAAACTGAGACAGAATGTTTATTTTTCACGATAAATTGGTTGCAAAGAATAACCACGAGAATTATTGATGTAATTTGATCACAACAACAATGTTTGTTTCACCTGGCTTGGGCCAAAAATATTTTTTAGAAAATTAGTTTCCAAAAAATCCACAAAAAACGATATAATTTGCGACAAATTTTACACTGTCCTGTCACGGTCGCCAAAATGTACGATCAAGAGAGTTTTCTTGACCGGCAGGGAGTTCTAATTATTTTATTTAAATAAACCCGCACTGCAGAAAGATTCTTGGGCAGTGTAAAACCGAAGTCCAAAAAAGGGAGCGAAAAAAATTAAAAGAAGTTGGTGGTTCAATGTTTCGAAGTACAATATTTATTGAACAAAAAACAGACAGACGAAGAGGACGAGACAACAGATAATGTACATATGTATATGCTCAAATAGGCATGCATGCACATATGTACAAACATTTATATGTATTGATGCTTTTGGTTTCTAACTCTCGTTAGAGATCAAAGCAAAATAAAAAACACTCATTCCCTATCGAATGCTTTGTTATGCTTATGATCGACATAGGCACAGAAAGCATCGAAAGATAGATAACGTGAACAGTGCAACAACGATAAAATGAACATTAAACACAATAATAAATTAAAATAAATAGAATATAAATAAATATGGATCGAAATGAATAAATAAACACATTTAAATGGGAATTGATAGAAAGTAAATAATATGGAATAAATTAACCCAATATAAATAATAATATAATTTAATTTAATGTAGAAACAAAACGAAAATAACTAAATATAAAACCGTCGGCACGCTGACCCAACAATAGAACCCTAACGATATTTAGTATTTTGATGCTTTTAGGGATATTATTGACCGGAATTCATTCAAATTTGATGATATTAGCGACATTATTCACCGGAATGGTTCCAAAGTTCGTATTTAAAGTTCCAAATCGGTACTGCGGCCGAAATCGGTACTGCAGGACCTCATACGTATAGTCCTCACACAACGGTTTTCATTTTTCGCCTGATTTTTTTTCTCAATTTCCTTCTAAATGGTGGAGGGTGGTATGGCTGCTTACATTTCTAAGCTTTAAGGAATTATTTTTAAGGGATTTTTGCACAATTTGGACTTTTTCAAATAATATTCTTGTCAAGGTCCCTTTTTTCCGACAATAATAATGGGGCTTCTAAATAAATTTTTTTTCGAGAATTTTCCGACCTTATGATTGGGTTCGTAAAGAATATTTCTTTTTAAAGAGACTTGTGGTCTTTTCATACCCTCAATCATATGGGTAGAGAGGGTATAGATCATTTGATACGGTCAAAGCGTGGCTAGTTGAAATAGCGGTTATAGATCCTAGGTCTCTTTAGACCAAGTCCGTTTCTGGACATTTGGAGTCGATCTAGCTATGTCCGTCCGTCCGTATGTTTGGATGGTGTGCACGATAACTGTCGAAGGGGGTATCCGATTTGGTCCAAACTTGGTACATTGTAATATTTTTTTCAAACTTAGATCGAGTTCGGAGGTGAGCAATATCGGTCCACTCCTTTTGGTACCTCCCCCAAAAAAGGTCGAACTTTTCAAAAGATATATTTTCTGCATAGAAAGGAAAACAATAATTCACAAATGCCATTATTTTTACTAACACAAAATCTGCTGCGGAAATGGGATGTATCGGCTCCCTCCTTCTGGTACTTCCCCCAAAATGTTGAATATTCACAATGCCCATAAAACGCCAAATTAACATCCGATTCCATTCAGACTTGGAACATCTTAATATTTCCATCAACATATGATCTGTCACAAAGATGTTAAATATTGGACCATTTCTTCTGGTACCACCCTCTTCAAATTTTAAAAATAACAAGTAAGCAAAGGCTACAGTCGAGCGGGGCCGACCGTTGAATACCCTACAACACTATAATAAGTGATACAGTTTATATAGGCGAGATACTCGAATGAATTCCACAAAATATTGTGACAAATAATAAAAGAAAGCACTCAGGTTTCGTTCTCTAATTTTCGAATAATAGCAACTTAAGCTAATTTGCTCATTTCCAATTTATTGGTAGATATTGCACTTAAATGGTCTTCCTAGATCTGGAACCAATATTTCCCAAAGACCTATAATCTCTCAGAAGTGGCAAAAGATTAACATTTATTATTGGTTTTTGACTGAAACGCATCTATATGAGATACAGACATTTGACTATATTCTTCAACGAAATCAGCCTTAACGAAATAGTCAGAAACGCGACTTTCCTGTATTTCTGAATTCTCCAAAAAGTCACTGGAATGGACATTTTCGTATTTTATCTACAAAAGTTGGCAAACTATTTCGCACATTGAATATTTTTAGATGGCCATCCAAAACTGCTTGGCTTTTGCAATGTCCGGTAACCCCCATTCAAATGTGCGTGAGGATCAGGCGATAATTACGACCTGCTGACAATTTTGCAGTTTTTTGGTCCATTTGAACCCCTAAATATATGGCGATCATCTCCGAAAAGAGTAGGCTTCTATTCTGACCCTCTCCATGCAAAATTTCGTAAGGATCGGGCCATAAATGCGATCTGTATATGATATCCTGATATCCTAACTACTTAGTTTTGTTAGCTGTATAAATATTACCAAATGTTTAATTCAAAATGAAAATATGCCAAAAATATGACAAAATTGAAAAAATATGAGAACATTTTAGAAAATCAATATTTTCATCCTTAGAGAGATATTTTTAGACGATTTTTTAGATGTTTTTTCTTTCCTGCCAAGAGGCCATTCTGAATTAATGAGAACTGTCGAAATCAGTTCAGCCGTTCTCGACATATAAGAGATCTTTCAAGCATATCTTCTTTGATAGACATATATATCGCACATATTTTGCTATATATCCGATTTGTTGGATGTTAACATCAATGTAAAGGTCAGTAAGTAACCTTGTGATGGCTTTGTGATTATGCCGGGATTTAAAATATTCGCGTTTTAATGAAAAATTTTGATTTTTTTCAACACAAAAGATATGGTCTATTTTACCCGCTAAATATTATCCGATGGCCACCCAAATTGGTAGGCTTCTTCCCCGCCCTAAACTCTAGCTACATGCGAAATTCCGCGTCGATTGGTCTATAATTGCGACCTGTATAGCTACTGCAAAATCCGAAATTTTTTTAGTATTTGGTCCATTTCAACCCCTAAACATTTGGCGATCATCTTCAAAAGCAATAGGGTTCTATTCTGACCCAAACCCCACCTGCGTGCAAAATTTCTTTAGGATCGGGCCATAATTGCGACCTGTAGCGTGATTACAAATTAACATGGACAGACGGACAGACGGACGGACGGACATACATAGCTAGATCGACTCAGCTCGGCGAGCTAGGAAGATCCATATATACTTTCCTATATGGGAAACCAATATTTCGTGGTGTTACATAATTTTTGGCCCAATCAAACACATAGTGTTGTAGGGTATAAAAACATTTTTTCTAACATAAAATCTGTTGTGAAGACGATATATATCTGCGAAACCCTCGCGACATCTCATCCACAATATGTCATAACTTGCGAATCAAGTCAGCTATTCTGTACAACTTTCTATACCTAAATATTTCTCTTAACCAGAAACGTAAAAATAAATAAAATTGGATATAAAATGTTCGATTGTCTTGTAATTTGGCCCAAACCAATATTTTTTATCTGTATTAGATGAAGTATGAAAATTGAGAAGTTCGGTCGACTTTCAGGCCCATTTTAACATTTTCTAAAAATTATCACATTTCTCATATAAAGTGAAAGAAATTGTCGATATAGTCCAAACCTGGCTCATCGCAATATTTATATTATATTTATTTAAGTTCGATACGAAATAGACGGTATTGGCCCATTCCTTCGGTACCTACGCAATAGAGGGTCAACAATTTTAATAATCATAACAGAAGTCAAAATATATTTAAGTAATCGAACATTGTCTGGGGGTATACATCTGTCGGCTAAACGGACTGATACTTTTTAACTTGTTTTATTGGTATTATATGACGTGTGAGAGCGGAATACATCGGTCTACTCTTTCTGGTACACCCACCAAAAAAGTTCAACATTTTCCAAAAAAAAAAAATACATACACATATCTCATATAAAATTGCTAAACCTGGACATCTGTCTGCAAAGCCGACGGATACCTCTTAACTTGCTAAAATACTTCTCCAACCTCTAATCTCCCATTTTTTTTACCAAATTTTTCCAGACATAGGTAAAAAGCCTTTGATAATATTTTAGAGCCTTTTTTATTTTTTTATTATTTTTATAATTTTTTTTATTAATTTTGGTCTCCTCCTGTTTATTTACAAATTTATTTTATGTGCAATTTATTATTTTTTTTCAATCGTCTACATATTTTCTCATGAAATACCATCGAAGTTATGG